CAAAACCTTGCCATGCAGACCCTTTACAGTATCTTAATATCATTTTTCGTAGGAGGGGTTTATGTATTGGCACAGGCAAACCTGTGTTTAAAGGAGGAACTTGTGATACTTTTTGATTTTCCTGCGTTCTGTTACATGTGTGGTCATTAAAGTGAGTGAGAACAGAAATGCTCACCTCTGCGCATAAGGGAGCAGGTGGACAGGTTACCCACTGTGTTGGATTCCCATTGCTGAGGAATATGTGTTGCGTTAAGAGTGTCTGCCCCATAGGACACTCTCCTATGCCATCTCTCCCTATGCAGTCTGTTGAGTTAGGGTAGGGAGGGATGTGCACACATATATTTGTATTTGTATAAATGCACCCTATGCTTAAGTTGCTGAACTGCAAAGACATGGAAAATATCTGCAATGTGAGTGAGAAACCCATGGAAAAATGTAAAATCCCAGGCTTGATGGGGAGAGATTGTAATTTATTTTGTATAGGGATAAAATTCACTCCAGTGTGTAACATCCGTGCAAAGCTCTGTGTAACGTGGGGTTGAGTTTCAGTTTACATAAACATATAGGTGTTCCTGCTCCCTTCATAAATTACTCCAGCTCTAGCACATGAAAGGCTAAAGAACATACTAAGCAGCTTTTTGGTCTATTTCGCATTCAAAGTAAGAAAGCTGAATCCCAATATTTGGTTCCTAAATCCAGCTGAATCTTTTGGTTGAGGAGTAGGGCTGCTACGTTAATGCAGCTGTTCTGCTGCATTAATACAAGCAGGTGATTAATTGTATTATCTACAGGCACTTTTGAGGGCTAGGGAATTGAGAGGACAAGGTGAAACTCAATCTACACCTCCTCAACTGATTTTAAAAGATTGATTATGATTATGACAGAATTATCAAATAACTATAACTTCACTGATGTAATGAAAATTAGTAATTTTTTGGCAATTTACACTGTGCTTTTTAAAGAAATGTTTTTCTGCTTCACAGGTAAACCTGGACTACTGATCTGCAAAATCACCCAATATGCACCATTTAGTGGCTATGCAGGAGCAAAACAGCAAACAGAGAAGAAGCAATTAAGAGATGTCTTCCAAAAGGGCGATTTATATTTTAACAGCGGTGACCTTTTAGTGATCGACAGTGATAACTTCATTTATTTCCATGATCGAACTGGAGACACATTCCGGTTAGCTTATCTATTTAAATGCTTGTCACAAGTCTAACTCATTCTCAGGTTTGAATTCTTATCCAGTATTTCGTACTGACTGATAAAGAGGAATTTCTCTGACTTCAGTCACCTCCGCTATTGTATTTTATCAGTTGTGTTCATAGTTACATACAGAGCCCAGCAGAGGTTCAGCTTAGGGTGATGAATGAGTGCTATTTTGAACAGCCAGAAAACCAGTCACATCCATAGAACCAAACCGTCATGGTTCCACATTCACTGTACTTTTAAACCTCAGAAAGCATAGAGCCTAGGATGGAACCTAAGGTAAGAAATATTTTGGGCTTTTGTTTGTTTAGAGCCATTTTAAGCATGATTAAACTACGTGTGTTAAGTTCTTCTGAGATTTGAATAATCTGGAATGCATTGTTGATTTTTGCAGCATAATTTTCTCTACTTTTGATAACAAGTTCCTTGTTCTAGTGCAAAAGTGCTTTCTGATCTCAAGCTCAGTGCTCAGCCTGTTGTAAAGTCAGACATGAAAACACTGGAGAAGTCTCTATGTAATAGACATAGAAATCATGACTATTGACTGCTTATTGTCCAGGTGGAAAGGGGAAAACGTTTCTACCACGGAAGTCGCAGATGTTTTAGGACTGATTGACTGTGTTCAAGAAGTAATTGTATACGGAGTATCTGTTCCAGGTATGAGTGAAATACTTGAAGCATTTCAATAAAAGAATTTCTTAATACATTAACAAAATATCAATATACTGAACTGCAGAGTATAGGTAGCCCTACTTCAGCTTATTTTTCATAAGCTATATTTGATACATTCCATCATTTAAATATATGCAATATTCATTAGCTAAAAAAACATAGCCAAAGCTTATATTAACATAGTATGACAAGAATACTAACAGGAGAATGGAAGAACATTTGAGATTAAGTATCCCGGATATAAACACTGTTGTATCTTTTGCAGAAATTCAGCTCTGCAATTTTGTAGAGTGGGACAATCAAAATAGACTTGAATTTCTAGAAGAGCAAGAACGTCACTTAAGAAATAGATTCCTCCCTTTTTCACCTTTCTTTAACAATCTGATGGAATGCAAGAAGTTCTGACATGTTTACTGCCTTTTTCTACTCCTTGAAAATCTGTGAAATCTTTGAACTTCTATAAAATCTAACTGCTTATGTTTTTCCCTTTTTTTTTTTTTTTTTTTTTTTTTTTAAATTTGAGAGGCAGTGCTGCTAAAGGCAGATTCCCAGAGGTACTGCAAGACAAAAGAGGAAACAGATAGCTTTACTCTACTTCTCCTCTCCTGTATTTTGGAGGTACCTTCCTGTCCATGTTTCTCACTTACCCAAGATCCACAGCCAGAGACTGTGAGACTCCTCCCCACTGCGTTTAGGGTGTGATGGACAGTTAAAGTGAAACCCGTTCTTACAGTGTTATGTAGGGATCTGAAATCAAACAAACAAGGTTAGATTTGATCAAGATCCTGAGTATTGCATTGCGCGAGTGGTTTGGACTAGGTGGCAAAATACACTGCATGCCCTTAGAGTAGTCTACAGAGGAGGTGGAATTTTGAAGCTCCTATTAACTGAGTTAACAGATAATAACAGGTATAACAGACTAATTATTAATTCATTAATAATATTAATTCAGTTAACAGGTGTCACATTTTTCCAGAAAGGCTTCCAGACTATGGTATGTTATAACATGGGTCATAGCAATGACAATTTAGTATTTTGGAACTGAAGGGCATGTTAGAGATGCCAGTCTTCCTACATCCACCATTTCCTTTTATACAACATGTGAGAGATTCTGTTAATGTTATGATCCACTCATCATTTCCTCTACTAAAAGCAGAAGACATGAGAATAAAATGCCCAGCGCTACTGAGGCTAGAATAACATGGCGGTTCATAATCCAAGATGATCCATTAGAATAGTGAATTCAAATAAATAAACTTTTTATTAATCATGTATGTTTCTGCTACACCAATTGATCTAAAATTAAAGCCTCTCTCTTTAAATCACTCTTGTTTTCAGCTGCTTTGTGGTAGGGATAAACACAAAGCCTCCCTAGGAGACATTTCAAAAGAAAGGTAACAACAGAAATGGACCAGAGTTCTTTATGTGTTTCTCAGATTACACTTTAGGAGATGAGGAAGATATGCTGTTATTCTCAATGCTCTTGTAAAACCACATAGAAGAGGTGTTAATACCTAATTATGGAACAACTTTATGGAAAAAAAAATATATATTGTTCAAACCAGTTCTCACCTTACATTTGTGCAAGAACTGGGTGGATTGTGTATTATTTTTTTTCTTTTTTATGCGGCACAGAAAGATTTGTCTTTAGTAATGTGCCTGGTGGCGATAGTATACATCACCTGAGAAGTCATTAATTCAACTCTCTAGATTTTGAATAAACTAATTGGAATGCCAAGTATCATCAATACACAGTGTGAAAGGCAAACAGAAACAACTCAAAAGAAACTGAAGAACAATTCATCTTAAATCAGCATATGCTTGTGCTCTACTTTTCTTTAAGCATTAGATGCTACTTCCATTTTCACTTCCTTCTGCACACAATTCGGTGAAAGCATGCATATGGTTCCAATGTAAAACTTTGTGTAAGAATATTACCTATTTCTTCTTGCATTACCTGTAATCCCAGAAAACAGAAGGAACACCAAAAGGTTTGTGTTTAAGTGGTGTCCCATCCCTCAGCCACCAAAAGGGGAGGGAAGAAGCCCTTTCACTATGTTGTTAAACGAATAAAAAATCTGAAGTGCTTGGATTTTTGCATCACTTAATTATCGTTCATATGGTAATAAACAATGGTAAACTGGGTTTACTCCTTTGTGTCCTCTTTCTGCATGGATGAGTTTGTCAGCACAACAAGTACAAGCATATTTACCATGATTTACTGTAAAGTAAATTAACCCACACAGTTCGATGCTGTTGCAGGCCAACTTCTGCTCAGAGTACTGAGACCTGATTTTCCAAAGTCTTTCCAAAGACTTTTGAAAGAAGGACAATTTTCAGAATGTCTGCCATCTACAATTCTGATGCTAGGCTTTCAAAATGCTTGGCATCTAGCATGCTGAAGCCTTAAGAAAATCTAATGACTTAGATGTCTAAAGGAAAATATGTCAGCATGTTTTCTGAAGCGGCTTAGAAGGAAAGGTTCACTTACAGGAGAAAGAAAAAAAAGTTTGCCTGAAGTTCAAATTTCTGCATGAACTACAGTTATTTGCTGCTGTTATTCCTTCAGGTTATGAAGGCAGAACGGGAATGGCATGTATTCGACTAAAGGAAAACTGTGAATTTAATGGAGAAAGTACTTACAGACACGTGAACACTCACCTTCCAAACTATGCAAGGCCTCGTTTTATAAGGATTAAGGTAAACCAGTATTCCTAAGTAGCTCTTGTGTGTCCATCTGCATTGTCTTTTCTCTTTTCTATGAGGACTATGGACTTCCTAGTTATACTAGCAGTTCCCAAAAAGGCTTCTTTTGTCTCTCTCTTGCTTTTGCCATTTCCCAATACAAAAGCAGAATTGCACTCAGATTTTGTTGTCAGCCTGAAAAAAAACCAAGTTGTGTGAGCAGTTGCAGGATGCCTGACACATTTTAACATACAAAATCAGGAAGATCTCTTAGTGGAAAATATATTTCCTGTTGGATTCCTTCAGCACAGTGAGACGGCCGTGTTCTCAGTTTAGTGTAGCTCCCTCTACAGACTGTTCTGTGCAAAATAAAGATCCCTCAAACAAGAAGCTTGCAAGAGAGAGCCATCTTATGCAAGAGCCTTAGATTTTTATCCTACCAGTGAATAGATAGCCAATTTCTAAACTGAAGTTTAGCCTGAATTAGGAAAATGTTGCAAGAATATCACTCTCACTGTACTTCAAGTTATTTAAAATAAACATTGCTCATTTGAGAAAAGTTGTGTATTCACTGAGATGATTCAGGAGACTAACACAGAGATAACTAGCATGCCTCATTATTTAATCAGTCTTTAAACTTTTGAGTTACACAAACAAAACAGTTGACCAGTCAAGTCAATAGTGGTTTGTCTTGCCATCCCATGTAGAGTACAGTAAGTTTTGGCTAGTCTCCAACTGCAGTTTTCTTTGCTTTTCTTTTCTGAGAAAAATTCTGCTTTTTTTTTTGATCCAAGAACAGAATTAAATAATTTCTTGGATAAAATGCTTGATTCTGACTAAAAGCTGAAAACCAGTGTTTTCCTGCCTCATTTAAATAAAATAGTAAGGTAAGCCTCTCACCATTTCTGTGGCCCCAGCACTTTCTACATTCAGAGTAATTACTGGCCCACTTATTCCACAATCCAGTTGTTATCTGACGAGTGCAGATAGTTTAGACCTCTGTTAGTAAGGCTTCAACTTCTGTGCTGTATGGATTTTCTTTAAATATGATTCCCTTTAAATTTAGGAAATCTAATTCCCACAATTGTATGCTGACATTGATACATAGAGATGTAATTTTGTTTTGTAGAGTGCCATTGAACTTACAGCAACTTTTAAGTACCGTAAAGTACAACTAGTGGAGGAGGGTTTCAATCCAGCAGTCATCAAAGATCGCCTGTATTTCCTGGATGACAAAGAAAACCTGTATGTACATATGACCCAGGACATTTATAACTCAGTAAAAAACCATGACTTCAAATTGTGAGCGTGTAAAAAACCCTGTGTTTTATAATATTCAGTTTTTAAAGCATCTGTTACTCTAACCTTGCCAGGAAATCCTGTTTATTAATATTAGCAAATACCAGTATCTGAAATGAAGTGTGAATGTGAGATTGTTTTAATAAAGCAGAACTTCTCCAACTCTACCTACATCTTAGCCTGGCTTCTCCTCTCCTTCATACTTTGAATCTTACCTGCCGTCCTACTGTGTATGGATATATTGTTAATGCTGTGAATGTTAATGCTGTGCACCTAAGCATGCGAAAGTGGGTACAATGTAAGACATCTTTGTGCAAATACATTTATACTCATATTAAAGAGTGATCCACTGCATTAGTAAAAGTTGCATCCCTAAGTCAAAACAGAAAACTCATTAAAAAAGACCATTAATGAAACTTACAGCTGCCTTAACTAATCAAAACAAGTCTGTATTAGATGCTTACATTAACTTTTATCCATTGCAGCAGAGATGGCCTCTTGTTTTTCATGCACCGAATAATACATACACAGAATGAGAACGATTTATAAGAACTAACATGTATTTTCCTTCAGGTGCAGATGAAGTAATAGCAGGCCAGATACTTCATAATAAATGTGGCTTAGATTTCCCTAGAATTTAAAAAAAAATGCAAATATTACAGAATGGAATAAAAGAAATCTGTTCTTACTACAAAGGGTAAGCAGGCCAAATTTTACTGCTCCATGCCTCAATATATCCCACTGTGAGCTTAGCTGATGTTATATAAAGGTATGGAAATTGTTCTGATTAACCAAAATCATTATTTTTAACTTGAGAATAGTTGTACTGGGTCAGGCATGTGAGATGGGGTGATTCAGGTGTTGGGAAACAACTATGCAGAAGGCAGCAAGCATCTAGCAGCGCTCTCCCAGAATAATCTCCTAGCAATCATCATGCTTCCTGACTCAACAGTGGTATCTCTGAATTTAAAGCTGCTCTCAATAGATATTTCTCCCCCTTTTTTTTTAAATTATTCTTGAAAAATACGTAAATCGTAAGTTTGTTTGCTGCATACAGACCCTTTCTTCTGTAATGCCCTTAGTTGTTCTGCTATGAGAAAGGGTGAGATGATACCATTCCCACTCTCTTTCCTCATGCACTTTGATTTACAGACCTTAGGTAATGCTGAGAAAGGCACAGGTGCTTAGCAAGGGCAACATGCTTGCATAAAGCCTCCTGTGCGCTGTAACTGATGAGCGCAGGAGAATGGCCAGGCTGGACTGTTTACAAACCAGACAGTTCCATGTTATACGCCTACAAGATTTATTTGACATTTTAATCTATAAATACACAAGGTTTCCACCAGTAAAATCACACAAATTTTCTCAGTGGTCATTGCCACTGCTTACACATTGAACAAAAGAACATGAAGTATTGCATATGAATAAGCAAACTTTGGTTCTTTCTACCTGGAGAGGTCTTAAGGACCAACCTCCTTTACTTGTTAAACAATGGCTTGCAGAGGACAACAAGGCAGCTGAAGGCCACACTGAATGCTGCACTCCGGAAAGCTCGGGACACTGTAGAACTTAATTAGCTTTTTGAAGGCACTTTTTTTGAACATCATCACCTCTTCAGGCAGCCTGGAAAGAATTCTGGCATTTGCATGAGTCTCCTTCTTGTCAGTAGCTGCTGCTTTGGGGTTACATTGCTCAAGACTACCAGTCATTGGCACACTGTTGCAGCTAAGGGAACGTGCGGTCTTTTTCTTGCCTTGAACAGATAAATAACTGAATAAACAAGAGGTTAACTTATGTTTGGTAACATCTTGGGCATCCTCTGGAAAACAGTCATCTGGGGGATCCCTGTCACCTTTCACTTGTTGACTAATCACGCACATACTGGGACTTGCTGCTAACTTCTTAGGCTGAACTACTATTTTTCTGGAAGGTGTTTTGTACTTTCCTCCATCTAGATAGAGCTGAGAAGCATTACTAATGGCATCAGAACTAGGCTTAACTATCATATTAGGGATTCTTGCCCCATCACCAGAATTGATGCAGTGCAACCCGTAATTCTGGCTAACAACTTGGGCTGCAGTCTGTTGAATGATGTTCCAGTCTTGCAGAATATCTTCCCTGGTTGTGAACTGAGATGTTACGGTAAAGCGAATGATGAACTTGTCATAAATGGTTGCTGGAATTAGGAAGAGCCTGCCAGAACTGCTTAGTTCTTTCAGGAGTTTTTCTGTCAGCCAGTTGGGACCCTGTTTTAAATACGAATAAGAAAAAAAAAGATACTATAGTTAGAATTTCCAGTGACATCCAAACATCTCTGTAAGAATTTAAGCATTACAAATTCTTACATAAAAAGTTTATTCACAGTTCTTAATGTCTGGAGAGAGATCAGCTGTGGCCAGTTCGTTCCAAAGAGACATGCAAAAGGCCCAATATTTACCTTTAGACGGAATACAACCAGTCCAAGATGTCTCTTGGCAGGAATTTCAAAGAGCGGATCACTTTTAACCAAGGATTCAAAGAATTTAGCTGTTTCAGTACCCTATAATTATGGAAAAAACGTAGGTATGTATTAGTTTGTCACAAACTCATTGTAAGACATTAAATAGTTAAAAATAAATCCTTTCCTTACTACAACATGTAATTCCAATGCATGAATGGTAGCAAACAAGAATGACAACAAAGCTAAGAATTTTAAGGTCTGTCTCTATTTGCCCAAACCCTTGACAATGAACAATAGTAACTAGACTATACATAGGAATTTTCTAGAAGGTTTGAAAACAGAATGTGCCTTCTCAGATGAGAGCCCTTTTGCAGGAACCATTGATCCACAACATGATCTCTTGTATTTACACTCCATCAAAGACTTAAGCCTGTAAATTTTCATAGCAATGAGTTCGGCCGTCCACCACCGCCTGCCTCCCAAACAGCTGCCGCTTTGCCTCAAAGAAAGCTTCTACAGAGCAGTCCTCAGTAATGTGCCAAAGGCACTGACTTACTGAGTCGCTTTCCATTGCCTGTTGCTTCCAAGAAGGGTACAGGAAACGTTTTGTCTACACAGCGAATCTTTACAGATTACTTCAGAGTAAAATCAGCACGCATTTAGCGTTCACATGCAAGCTTTGTGTGCGAGAGGATTTCTGTTACTCATTGCTGCTTAAACTCAGCTACCAATAAATGAACATAATACATTTATGCTTGCGCTGTTAATTCACATACATGTCGCACATGAGCTTGAAGCTTTTTCACCCCAAAGGAACGAATCACAAACCACAGCTTCAAAGAACGAAACCGACGACTCAGTGGAATTTGCCAGTGCTGTGAAAACATAACAGTGGATCGATGAGTGCAAAAACAACAGAAAGGAGTGTCCCCTTACACAGCTACATCTGTTGCTTCAGACTCAGGTCAGAAATCTCTGTTGACACAAATAATTTCATATTACTGAAAATCTGCTAAACCTAGGAAATAGCCATCAAAGAAACCCTATGTCTACATATTTTTCAACTATTTGCAAAAATAAGATTTTGGCTATTCCTCTTAATCTATGGTCTAGATATGCTTAGAACTTTCAGTTAATGACCAGCTAAAAACTTTTTGCATTCAGAAAGCATTACCAATTTAAAATGTGTCCATTTACACTTTAGGACTGGCTGCTCACTTTAGTTCCTGTAATTTGCATATTTAAGTGCCATCCTGAACGTATTCCCAAGTCAACTCTAAACAGCGAGAGCTGATATAAGGGTAGACCCTTCCAGAGGAAGGAACACCTACTGCATGGAAGAGAGTGACAAAACACATAAAGGAACACTTCCAGGGAGCTACACAATTACATGCAGGGTCCTATTTAACCACAAGAGGGACTCGCTGACACATTTTTTTCTGCCCCTCTCTACACACTCTCTAGTGAAAAGCACTATTGACTTCAAGAAAACAATTATCTTTTCAGGACTAGGGTGAGATCACAGCAGAAACAATTGGCAGTGGCTATTCTTTTGTTTTACTGTACTGAAATCTGCTGTAAAATGGATCTAAAGTGAAATGTCTCTTAGCTCTCCTATGAATACCTTAACCTGAAGAAAGATGTAATCTATTCTACTGCTGTTTCAGAGCATGGTATTTCCATTGCTTACTCCTATCTCTTTTTTATTACATATCAGAGATACAAGAAAACCAGCCAAAATGCCACCAGTAGGAATTACTTCAACACAATGCACAGAAATCACCCTTCTATCACTAAAAAGGCAAGGCTGGATCCCTATATGCATGAATATCTTAAGTACTTCAATCTCCATTTCTGAAAGCAATTTTATAATTAATTTTCATAACCAGGGCTCACTTCAAAGTTTTATTATTTAACGTGCATTAGGAGCTCAGTATAATTGGTTTTATGCTTTTATGTAATAAGACCAGCTATAAGACAAGCACACTCCAGAGCACGAGGAATTTCGCAGTCTGTTTGAACATTTTATAGGCAATTTAAAATATCAACTCAAATAACAACTTACCATGAAATCAACAGCAGCTCCTGAGTTGGGATGTCTGAGGTAGACAGGGTTAACACTGAAGGTTTGATGTAACTTGTATTTATCCTTAACCCTATCAATTGTAGAATGAACTCTATTTAGCAAAAAATTGTGCAGAGACTTTGCAATTTGCACGTCATCCTTTTGGTGTTGTTCATGTTTTGCCTTTACTCACCAAAATCCTGTGCAGTCAAAATGAACCATCATCCATTTAGAAGGGTTAAAAGTAAAGGAATCTGCATATTCAATTCCATCCAAGAACAATCGAAATTCAGGACATACAAATGCTGTTCCTGCATATGCAGCATCAATATGAAGCCAGAGGCCCTCAGCATCACCTGATGGAATTGAAATTGCTGTTATGGAAGGGACATAAGGAATCAAAGGACATGCTTAATCTCTGCTGTCTGAAAACTAGGTGCATGTTTTTGCAGGTGGCAGACAGGCTGACCACAAAATAGCAAGGCAAACAATTGATAGTTTT